AAATTTTCATTATAGTCCACACCTTTCTTTTATGTAAAGCCCTTTGCCACTAATATGGCTTTATACCTTTTATTTTCTGAATTAGAGTCCCCTTGTTTTATTTTGTAAATCCACTTACAGTCAACTATCTTTTTATCATTTGGTTTATCCACTAATACCCATGTTTCATTTTTAATCAAACAATTCATTTCTTCATCCATTGCTTCTTTCCAAAGTTTCGAGTCAGAGCAACCAACAGCTTCTTCAAAAGTAGTTGGTTCAGAATTTTAGGAATCTAGACCAGAAAATAATGTGACAAAATCATCATTATTGAACCTGGTAGAGGGCATCCTATTTCTCCTCTCTCTATCTCTTGTAAGCTAATAATCAGCAAGGGGTGGGTTTACAGAGTCAAATTCAAATCCAGGTTCAATCTGATCACCTTCAACTTCAAATTGAGTAGTCTCCATCACAATCAAATCATTCTGATTTTCAGGGCCTTCCAATTGATTTTTCTGGATAGTTTGCTTTATAAGTGTGGATTCATTTGATTTTAGTCCTGATGAATTAAGGCATGACATATCTTTTTCATTGAATATAACATTTCTGCTTATAATGACTCTAAAGCCATTTTGTTCCTCGACCCAAAGTCTATACCCTTTGGTTTCCTCTCCATAATAAAGAAAGATACATTTCAGTGATATTAGTTCCAGTTTTCCCTCATTTTGATGAGAGTAGGCAGCACAGCCAAAGACCTTCAATTTACTATAATCTGGTATAGTTCATGACCACAATTTTTCAAGTGCTTGAAAATTAATAGCCACTAGATGGATTTTTATTTATAAGATAAGTTGCAGTTTTGAGGGCTTTTCCCCAAAAAAGTTTAGGTAGACCAGAAATGTATAACATGCAACTAACCATTTGCAATAAGGTCCTATTCATTCTTTTAGCAACACCATTCTATTACGGAGTGTATGTCACAGTTCTGTGTCTTAGTATGCCACTTTTCTTACAAAAGGAGTAAAATCAAGTCCATTGTCTGTTCTCTGTGCTTTAATTTTCTTTACTTGTTTGATTTTCAATCATTAACTTCCATTGTTTAAAGATTTGAAAAGTATCATATTTTTGTTTTAACAGAAAAATCCATGTTTTCCTTAAAAAATAATCTACAATAAGTAGATAGAATCTGAAACCACTTAGTGTATTTACAGAGACTGGACCCCAAAGATCAGCATGTACAGACTCTAAGATACATGTGGATTTGTGAATTTTAGGTTTAAAAGGTAGTTTTTGCTGTTTTCCAATTATGTAATCTTCACAAAATTCTAACTTTTCAATGTGATCCTTCCCAAAACACCCAAGTTTGTTCAAGAGAAGCAGACCTTTTTCAGAAATGTGGCCAAGCCTTTTATGCCAGATTAAAAACTAATTAGATTTTTAATTTACAGTTGTAGAGGTGAAGCCTACTAAAGGTTCAGCACAAACAGCGTAGATTCCATGTGTCTTATGAGAGGTAATGACTTCCCTATTGTTAAGATCAACAAATTCAGTGAACCATTCCTTAATAAGACACATGTGGAAAGTGCATCTAGAATTAAGGACCCACTTGGTAAGAACAATACCCTAAATGTCAAGTTCATGCTTGCAGGCAATGGTTGTAGAACCATCAGGATTATTTCTTTCTTTTAAATCAGAAATTTTTTTGAAATAGTCCTTTATAAGATGTCTAGTCTTTTCACAATAATAACACTTCCTAACTTGATTCTTGATTTTAATCCGATCTTTATTTCTGTCCTTATGTTTTGGTTTTTGAAATCTGCCCAGAGAAAGTGAAATTACATACATTCTTCTTCTTACTTCAATTTTGTTTCTCCCTTTATGTGGAGTCCCTCAACAAGTTTAGTATCTTTGAACTTTGATTTTAGGTCAAGTTTCTTGTTCCTTAGGACAATTGTGATAATATCAATAGTAAGGTTTTCTCTCCCATATTCTGAGGCATTTCTAATATCTCTGTATCTTTCACTAAAGGAATTCAACAGGCCAACAGCCTGCTGATCATCAGAGATTTTCTCATCACAACTTGCTAGATCTTGAATAAATTTTGTATATTTATCAATATTTTCTTTTAGAGTCAGAGATGTATCATAAAAATGCCTAAACATATAACATTTATTAGGCATTGTCTTATTAGGTACAAGGACTCAAGTTTAGTCGAAAGTGCTTGAGTATCAGCAGTTTCCCCAACTTTTCTAATTATACTGTCAGAAAGGCGAAGAAATATAGAACTCCAGGCTATTTCATCAAGTTCATGCCTTCTATAGGCACTAATTTCTGTACCCCATGGACCATCTAAAGCCCAAGCACATCTTTGTTGTAATAATAATGCCCTCATTTTCTGATACCAGAGACTAATGTTTTCAGTACCATTCCATGTTGGGACTTCAAATTTGTGTACAGTAGACATATTAATAAATATAATCACAAAGTAATAGATGTACAACACACGATGTATCTCCAATTCAAGCAGATTAGCAAATTACAATGAATATAAGCAGGATAAGATAGATGCAGTTGATTATAACTATTTATCATGCAATTTACAAAATCACAGAGAATTAGAATTAATAAGTAGGTCTAAGGAGTTATAACCCTGGATTCTACTATTTCCTCATATTCCCAAATCCTCAAGGGGCCTTGGACAAAGGAAAGTAATGGCAGATTACTAACCTTAATGACCACTTTTAGAATTAACAGAAACAATTAACAACTTTAATAAGAAAGATCAAATGTTACCAGAATCTGAAATCTCAATTTCAGAGTGGAAAGTGTAGTCAAATTACCAGATTTGAACCAAAAAAGCCAATACAGGTCCAAGAAGACAACAAGTCACAGAGACTCAATAGCACTTAGTAGTGAGTTAAGAACTCAGCAGGAATCGAAACGAGTTAACTCAACTTGCCAAGACTTAATATGAGTTAAAAGTAGAGTTACCAAGACTCAGTGTAAACAACATATTTGAGCGAGTTTGAGGTTTTTTTTTTTTTTTTTTTTTTTTTAAAGAAGACTTTCAATATTACAGTAATAATTTACAACAGGTCTTAAGGAATAAAACCCAGTAAACGAATTTTGAGGAACAAATCCCAAAACAAAGTTATTTTGCAATAGATCCAACCAAGAGTTGGATTAAGAATGGATAAAAAACGAGAAAGTTCCAGAAATCAAATTTCTCAACAGAGACTTTTCTTTCTTAAAAATAAAATAAACCCGATTTGAAAGTATTTAAAACGCTCTGATACCACTTGTTGGTCCCATTGTTTAAATCGTTTAAAGACACAAAGTACAGAATATTAAAAACAAGAACACAGAAGACTTTTTATCCATAAAAGGGTCCGGATGTTTAGTCACAAAGACCTACTCACCCGTTGAGCATCGACTAAGCGATTAGGCTCTAGATTCACTAAAATCACCAAGAAATCGTACAAATATATGAAGAAATTAATGATTTCTTCAAGTCCTCTCTAGCCTCTCTTTTTACAAATTTGGTAACCAAAATCTCTTACACATATTGTACTAAACAACCCTCAATACTCAACAATACAGAGATAACATCACGAATAAAAAAAAAAAAAAATTATTACCAATTTCAGAGAAACCCTAGCTCACATAGAGAAAGAACATTCGAGAGATGAAGAAAAATGAAAAGTCTATCTCAAAGATGGAGCGTCCAGACGACTCGACACAGATCAAAGGATCGCAAGCGAGCCACGTGTACAACAAAAAGCAACCCTTATGTTGAGGCATAAGTCGTGCAACCAAAGAATGCATTTAATCAATTGGGCCGGGTAATATACAATTTAATTAGCCCAAAAACCTAAGAAATAGTGAGGTAGCCCAACTCATAGTTGTCATCTCCAAAACACATATTACTTTGTAATGAAAGAATTTCAATTGCAATTCATATTCCACTACGTTTTTAAACCCATATCCTACTACTATTAAAGCTTATTGAAAATTTCCAAATAACTAATATTATTATATATGCCGTCAACCTTAAGATAGACATAAATTTAGATAATAAGGTTACTTACTTTGAAGCATCAATGAATGACATGAAGTTGACAATCTATAATCCGTGTATAAATTTATATTGTAAAAAAATATAATATTTGAGATGAAGACGTAGTTTTTATACTAATTTTGAAAATGAAAATAACAATATTTTTAAAGAAGAGACGAAGACATTATTTTTACACTAATTTTGAAAATAATCAAAATGCAACTGTAGGCCTCTACATATAGCCATGGACGTGGTCTCCAGGACAGGTGCATAGATTTAGCGCTTCAGTTGAAGGAATACACATCTTGGAAGTTTTTTTCTACATAACTTTTGTTGTGCTAAATTATCTTTGAGAAAAATTCATATATTACAATAGTTTAATAATACAATTTCAAAATTAACAAATCCGTAAAAAGACTTTCAAAAAAACATGTGATATGTGCCTCTAAATATGACAAGTCCTAACCAAGTGGGATTTTATGTTTAAGTATTGACTTAAGCAACCTTGTTGAATAAGTGAAATACATTAGCTAGGTGTCATCATTAACCTCAAGGAAGGGTTGTGTAATTTAACCCATAATTTATCATGAAACGTACACATTTTTAGATCACAAATAACCGAACTCCGAAGCTGAAGATCCTGCTAGTGCTAGTGCTAGTGCTAGTGTTCGAACCTACAAAGATGCACGTTTCAATTAGTCGCATATTTATCACAAAACATAAAGGAGAGAATAAGAAAACTCTTCCTATCGGGAAAAAAGAATGGCACGGAATATTCATTCTACATATTTGAGATGGAACATGCTCCTGCGATATTTGTTGACACATTCAAATCTACATGCAAAACACATGGACAACTTAAACAGTACCATCGTGTATAAAAATAAATAAATAAATTTAATCAAGAACATGTACCCAGTACGGCACAATAGAGGCGAAGAAATAAAAAATAAGAAGACCACGAGGAGCAAGATATTTCATCATTTATTTGAATACTATATAGTTATTGTTATTTCTGGCTACTTGATGGAATTTTCGAACATTTAGCATTTCATTTTAGCTCATGGACAAACATATTTAAAGAAATTTCTCCTAAAAATAAACACTTCTAGTTCTTGAATAAGTAAGCCCTACCATTTTTCTAGATTCACACTAAAAAGACACTGTACATCCAAGAAAAGCAGTGAGAAACTCAAATAATCAGCCTCGATTATCAGTAATGACGAGATAACAGCAGAAAGTGCCAAGTTTCTCAACGTCATTATGCCTAAATCTTTACCGTTCTGGTTTATATTCATCTCATGAAGGGACAAGACCAATCAAGATCCAAGCTTCTACACATTCTTCTTACGTTTCTGCATCATCTGCTTCGTTGAGTTCAACATCATCCACATCATCAATTGGAATATCTTCACTGTCATTATCAAGGGAGCCTGCACTTGCACTTAAAACAAGTTAAAGAACTGGTTTGTATTTTAGAGTCGTGGTAATTTCATGCCTAAAATGTTCTAAAAATTCTCTGGCCAAAGCATACAAATTAACCAAGTACCCAGACTGTAACATCATGGTGGCTACAATTAAAAATACAAGGGAGAACAGAACAGTCCTCAAATGCAGACCTTGGTAAGTAAATAATCGGTGAATCACCTCAAAATATAACCATCAAATTGAATATGTTGGCAACTCAAATTGACAGCCAGCCAATAAAGCTGCACTTTGCATTCAGCAGTCAATATATGTGAGCATTTGTTTGCTTCCCTTTATTCTGTATCTTTTAGTTACGAGTAACAAGAATATAATTTCTTTGAACACTAAGGAATAAGATTAAAAGTCAAGGGCGTGCTTTATAAGATCAAGTTTACTTTCTTCTCTTTCAAAACAAAAGATCAAGCTGAACATTTCCTTAAACATCACATCTAACTTCTTAGTTGAATTCGTTAGAAATTAAGTCATGGGTCAAAACAAAAAATCCCTTTATTGCAACCAACACAGTTTCCAGCCTATTTAATACATCTAGAAAGGGCATGCAAATTTATCTCTCCAAAGATCTAATGAAGGGTCAAGAAAGGTGGCTGTCATTTCTCCCACAGTTCGGCAAAAGAATTTCAACACACTAAGATAGTCACAGTTACAAGCCCATTGAAAATGCATTGTAGCACGCATTTACAGTGGGTTATGTGAATCCTCCCCTGCTACTTCATTTGTTTCAGCAATACATCAACTGCAACCATATCCTTAGCAACCACTCATTAATTTTGGTCAGCCTCTCCCCATTCTAGATCCTTATCAACCAAAATCGCTACAAATTTCCAGCAAGTCCATGTTGTGCAAATAAGTTTCACAAACTTTTTTAACAGTACAATCCCTAAAGAAGCTTGACAAACATATTGGTGACAGCATATTTACCTGTAGAGAAAAATGATCCTGGACTTCGAGATAGCTCGTCTAATTCAGCCGTATTATCAAGAAGATATTGAAGGTCTAGAAACTTCAATAAAGCTTCTGTCTGAGGGTTCCGACAATGTCCTGAAAAGAAGGAAAATAACAGATCATTAGACCAGATTACCAACCCCAGCAACATAATATCAGACACAAGCAAAAGAACTTCCAAAATTTCATGTCAAATTGTCAGCTATTATTGTTGACATATATTATGATTGATGTTCAGGACAGGAATCATCACTAATCTCACTTTACAAGCTGGACAGAAGAGATCCCAACCAGAAATGCTAAACTGGAGTTATCGAAATCCTAATGCACCAAAAAACAATTGCACAAGAATTGACTATTTTTCAGTTGGAGCTCTAATACCATGTAAAAATAACAAGAGCTTTGGAAAAATTGATTTGCCCTTTGCAGCAATTCTCATTAAAAAGGCAAGTCTCCCAACACTTTACCCGGTAAAGACAAATAATAGATCTCCTAGTATCTAACGTATAGTTCCAACTAGCATAGACAGACAAGTAATAGTTAACATGTGACTATTAGGCCTTGGGGCCTAAGACACAGTTGGTCACCCCAGGGCTTTAGTCTAAGGCCTTTAGTTACTTGCATTAACATAGACCTCAGCTGCAAATTTCCTTTTATTTTTCTCCCGTTTGTACCCAGACATTATAAAAAGAGAGAAAACCAAGATTCATCAGCCACCGACCATCATTGTCACCTCTGAATTTCCACCAGCCATGTCCCAAAAACTCCATCATCCCATGGAGACCATACCAATCATCACACACCAACACCCCAAATCAATTCTACCAAACCCAGTAAACTCTCCACGAGTAACTTCCAGACCAAACATTCACTCTTTGCTTAGAACTGATTTTTACAATGCAGCATGTAGGTCTGAAAGGGGGTTGGTGAATTTACATGATGGTGGCGGGAAAAGTAAGGTTAAAGTTAGGGGTTTGCATGTTGTTGATGAGTGGTGATGGAGGAGGCTGGGAATGTGGTGGTTGTGATAGTGAAGAGGTTGGCAATGGTAGCAGTTGGTAGTGGAGGTTAAGAGGAAAAGCGGTAAGTGGTAGTCGGTGACTGGGGGCAGCTTTGAAGAGGAAAATATGGGTAAGGTTATGTTAGGATTTTTAACAATAAACAATGGACAAAGTACTCATTTTATGTTACCAACTTTCTGGATTAGAAATCCGTGCTGCCCAACCCAAACACAGAAGTTTGTATAGTCATACTGCTGATTGAAAATCCTATTGGACTAATTTGTGCGGAAAAGATGCAATACGACTCAGAATAATGTAAGTAGTTTTCTAATCCCATATCAAACAACTTTACATAGCATCTTTAACTTAACCCTTTCCCCAAAATAGAACAAAATTAGAACTTAATTAGTACCAGAATGTCAGAAGTTAAGTCCTTGTTTCAAAGAGATTTTACGAAAAGAAATTTTTTGAAGTGTACTTGGTTAAAAAAATCTAATGGGAAAATGTGAAAAAGGCTTCATTTTTATTTATTTATTTATTATTTATTTTTATTTTTTTTGTGGTTGAAAATGAGTGCAGAAAGGTGATTCTTTTCAAAATCACTTTCAAACAAGGCTAAGTAGTTGAGTTATATTTTAGTTCATCCATTAGTATCACAATCAAGTGAAGTTACGGACTTAAGCCCAAAATGCTTGTACTATTCATTTGTTGAAATGGTCTAAAACCAATTGTTCTGAATTTAACCAAAGATGGTGAATTTCATCTGAAGACAAAGGTGACTGCAAACAACATCATAGTGTTGCCAAGATACTCACCATAAGGAAAATAATTGGCATTAAACTGAGAAGGATTGTGGTACGGCACGGTATGCACAAATTCGAAAGGTTTGCAACCTCTTGTTTGGAGCTTATTCTTCACAAATTGACGACACCCGTGTATGTCAAGCTTGGCATCACTATAACCAAAAAGGAAATAATTATCAGTCGATTGTTAACACTTGCAATAAGAATATTATCTTAAGCAAATCCATAATAAAAACACCTAAAATTAGCACGTTTCCTAGTCAGAGGAAACACAGAGTTGAACTTCCTTGTGATTGAAAGCCATTCTTCATCATAGAGAAGCTCATAAGGCCCTGGTTGTGAGTCAATGTCGACAATCTATAATCCAGGTCTAAAAGTTAGCTTCATTTAATAGCTACAAAAAGCTTCTGTAATAAAGAACTAAGGATCCTAACAAACACCTGCAAGAACTTTCGTCCAGGAAGACATTTATCGAGGGCAAGGAACTTTGTAGAAGGGCCACCTTCCCTGTGTTGAACTAGAGCAGAAAATTTGCAGTGTAGATGTGCAGAAAACCAATAAGAAGGTCTCAACTTTCCCAGCAATTCTGCAGCGGGCTGGCTTCCCAGTGTTCCTTCCAGTATCTAAATATAATATGCAGAGTACCGCCACATGAGGACAAGCAAAAAAGTGGCACCTCAAACTGAGTACACAATGCCATAGCACCATGCATTTTCAATTTACATAGTCATTTTATATATGGTATGCTTAGTTGATATAGTAAATAAATTTAAGGTAATTATTCTTATATAAGTTATAATTTCTACCTACCAGCCTCAAGTTTTGTGAGTATGCATGAGCACAAAATTTATTCTATGCAATACTCCACTTTGATTAGGAAGACATGTCAAGTCTTGAATTCAGTTAAAAAAAAATTTATAATACCTCTTCTTCAAAGAAAGGTTTTTGATGAAGAAGGTTCTTCAAATTCCCATAGTCAGTGATGCCAACAGGCCAATCATGGGAAAGAAAGATATCAATTGGTTCCTCAACTTGCATAAGCTTATGAACATCATATTCACGAACATGATATATAGATCTGATTTCTTGTTCATTGTAAGGGAGCTTTTCATAGTGTCCTGCACACCCAAAATGTCATTCTACATATTTTGCACCAGTACACGATAAAAACCACACAAAGAAATGTTAAAAGTATTTAGGAATGAGATTTAGGCCCCGTTTTAGACCCATTTTTTGGGTAAAAATTGTTTTGAAATAGTAATTTTTTGGAGAATGTATAGTTAGAAAATATAGACAAATTTTAGTTTACGTATAAAACTATTTTATGTGAGAATGTGTGGTTGAATATGAGTTTTGAAAAAAAAATGGAGCTCAAACATAGGCTTATGCTTTTCATGGTCCTTAAAGAAAGCTTTCAATACAACGTCAAAAAACACGATCAAATTGACCTAAATAAACATTGCAACCTTTGCTAAAATTAGAATTCATGAATATCATTGCATAATTGAAGAAAAAAAAAAATTAAGGACATTCATTCTCCTGCGATATGAATATTCATAAACCTGGCAGTGAGCTCTCAATATATAATACCTGAATAATAGTGGTGTCTTTTGTAAATCCCAGAAAGTCCACCAATACGAACATTTCCAAACTTGACCACTCCTGCAAACCCAAGGAAGTAGATCTGAGGTGCAACCCATCCGCCATAGTATCTGAGAAAATAGAAGAATTTTCCATTAGCTAACCATCCCACTCTCCCATGAGGCAATATCTAATAAAAAATTTTGTTGAATATTTCCGTTCTCTCCGTTGTCCAACTTTCATATAGATTTAATATTGTAACTTCATTATTGTAATAATTTGATAACCTTGATGCAAACTTATGCACCATACTATAGTCACAAAAATAAATAAATAAATAAAAGTGAAAAAAAGGCAAAAATATAAGCAGAATACGTTAATCTTATCCGTGCATTATAAATTTATAGGTTTCCCTAGAAACTTTCATATTATCTGTTGTAGATATATAAGTTCAGTGTCCATGTGAACCAGAAAACAACGCTGTTGTCAATATAACTGCTCGCCAACATATCTATTGTAGTATAAAAATACTATGACGTTTCTTCCATTGAGAATAATAAGAACTCTTCCAAAATAATTAGTCAGATTGATTCAGATGCGTAAACCAATATCCATGTACAAGAGATTTATCTAAAGATTGGCAATATAAATAAATCCAATGACAGACTCGTTTAGATTGTGTTCAACTAAAAGTTTGACAAAAATAAGACCATCTCTTCCTGATCTAGCTAACGCCAGCAATAAAAGGCTTGCCTTGGAGTTCTAATAATGGCTCAAGACATTTCTAGCCAGTAATAATGACCAGGAGTTGGCAAAAGAAGGATAATTTTTTTAACGTAGTGCAGTAACAAGTACATAACCAATTAAAAATGTACACACATACATACAGAAACATATATTTATAAACTTACTCTGAAACATAGAATATAGTTGATTCCTGAAAGTGTTATTCAGCATTCGTTAAGGAGAGAATTTTCCATCTGAAAAACGATTTTCTTTTGGAGAATCAATGGTTAAAACTTAAAAGTAGGAAAAAGTTATGGATATACATGTAATTGATATTGGAGAGTGTGTGGTTAAAAATAAGTTTGGGGAAAAATGATTTTTGAAAAAATCTCTTCCAAGCAAGGGCTAATAATAAGAAATGTATTAGTAAGATAGTGAACATAAAGGGTCGATTGTATACCCTATGAAAACTGTCAGAGCACCTCCACAATTTTTTAACTTCAAGGACCCAAAAATGTGGAGTAAACGATCAGAAAGAAGGAGCAACAGTGTATATGGACATTTAGCATGAAAAAAAGGGTGTTCTAGAATAGGTTGATCTTTCGGGCTAAGCAGTGAAAATATAAGAACTTCTTATGCAACACTCTGGGGGAGAGATTTTATAATCAGGAAGCTTTTGCCAACTTCCAAAGTCTATGGAATGGAATGGTGCTGATGTATATCAGTAGCGTACAGATAATTGTCATAAGCAAAAAATAAAAGCATAATAGCCAAGGGTGAAACTTGGATAGTAACACAACAGAAGATATGATTCGGGATGGACATAGAACATTATAAGGCTAAAAACCAGTGCAGAACTTTATGCTACAAGTGCAGAATCATAATGAATTGCAGATAGCAGGGATAAAATAAGATGAAAATGAATCACAATATGAAGAACTCAAAAGTATGAGCTTTCTATGTATAGGCTGTGGGGTAAAAACCTTATGTGTGGCAAAAAATTCTCAACAACAATCATAAATACTCAATTAATTTGGCGTCAGCAATATAAATACTCTTGCTATAATACATCACTCTAAAGCAATGAAATACATTGCAACCGTATCAGGCAATCTTAACTTAGATGTATATCTCCTCGTCCAACCTATTTACAAGAATTGCATCAGTATTGTGATGGGCCAAAATGAAAGACAAGCCCCAGTAACCTAAGTTGTCCTTCCATTATTTTATCCTCAATTGGTGCTACCTCCAGATATAGGCGAACATTCTCATTTCTTATCTAGGTACTCATACATCTTAACATCATCATTTCAGCTGCGACCATATTATGGATAATTTGTACATCAATGGTCAAACATTCAGTTACATACAACATAGATGGCCTAATAACCATTACATGGAACTTTTCTTTTGATCTAATATGTTAAAGTTTTTTACTTATGACATAAGATCCCAATAACCTATCATCCAACTCGCTCAATTTGTATACATTGCATAATCTTCAAATCTTTGTAAACAATCAAACGCAAGTACTAGAAACAATCACTCCTTGGGACTTAATGATCCTTCCTTAACCTATACATTGCATCATCATCAACTCTTTCTTGTTAATAATTGAACCTAAGTACATACAATCACTCCTTGGGAACTGAATGATTCTTCCTTAACCTAAACTATTGCAGTCAAAGGAGTCCTCCAAAATTCAAACTTATGATTTATCTTCTCCTAGCTTCATCAACTAAAACATACCTCATCTTGAATGTATTGCAAGCCATCCATGAGTAAACCAAAAAGTTACAGACTTGAGACAAAATGTTGATGCCCATCTACAATTATTAAATCCTTTACTACTATGGTTACTATACTGCAAACTCGTGGCTGCTCTATTATACATATTATCTATTGATATATCTAATTATTTGTGTGACAACCCGTAAGTTAAATTTCAGAATGTCACGAAAACCTACTTAACCTATTTCAAAAGACTAAAAAAAATAACTGGGAGTTATTTATACATAAAAAAACAGAAAATTTCCATTCATAACGATAAGCAAAATTCAAAAAAGATTATTGCCTGTCCAACAATTTTGACTTGAAAAAAAACAAGAGGTTAACAGCATGCAATAATATGAGATTATTGAGTTTCGCATAGCAAGCCAGCTCCATGAACCTCTAATATTCTATAGTGGGAAAACATGAAGGATTAAATTAACAATCCCAATAAATGCGTGCAGGGAATTGAAATTTGGAAAGGAAAATTCATAATGTAGATTAAAGAGGCAGGACAATTATACCGAACTTCAGTGGTATTAACTCTTGTGAGTATCTCTACTAAACTTCGATCTTCTTATCTTATTTATATAGGACCCAAATATATAATTCCAAAATTTAAAAGTACGAAATACAATTCACGTAGAATACACGCAACAATATTTTGATAAACTTGAGGTAGATGCTTCTCCCAATGTCTTCCAAACTGGAGGACAAATTTGAATCATATAGCTTTTAAATCGTCCGTTCAGATGTCTGAAAGCAGAGTGTTGTAATAAATTTTAGTTTTGTCCCCATGCTCAATGTAGGGTCTTCCACAAAAATTAAGGCTTTGTTCATCTCCCATTTTACCACATTCTATTACATTATTTTTTCTACGGTACTCATTTTCAACCCCACATTTTTCATTAAAATAATATTACACATAAATAAAAAGCATTTCCTTTTTTTTTAACCACACATTTTAACATTAATCACTATTCCATAATACATTATTCACAAATAATGGGGCACGAACACCCCCTAAATGCGAACCTAGGGTCTCTGTCTAAAACGATCAAAACAAGAACACCATGCAATCTTGCCACCTCATTTACATACAATTGTGCAAACTTATCCATTGAAAATGTCATGCGAACTAGCAAGAAATGAGATGATTTGGTTAGTCGATCAACAATTACCCGAATAGCCTAGTGACATCTTACGCGCCTCGGAATATAAACGACAAGTTCATTGTTATATGTTCCCATTTTCATTTGAGAATCTCTAATGATTCTAAAAACCCTTACAATCGATGATGCCTAGAAAGTACGTCCTTGATTAGATCCATGGGGTAAACTATTAATCGAGTTATAGGGAGGATAGAGCTTTGAAACACTCATAAATACAGTGATTCCATTAGTGGAACAAAGTATCCACAACTCTCAGACAAATTTTAAGGTAAAATTTTGAGGAGAGATTTTATGCTAGAGGGCTATATGATAACAGCCCTTACCCTAGTACTAGCCATTATTTTTCAATTTAGGAACTAATGGTAAGTATTTCAAGGTTCGGGAACCTAATTGGTTGTTTATCATAGTTTTTAGGGACCTATTTGCAATTTCTGAAATTATAGCTTTAAGCCGTGTCTATAGTACCGAATTTTTCATTATAGTAGAAGGAAATAATTAAAATTATTTTGTGTCCATAGTATTTTAATAATGGTCTAGATTATTCTTTTAAATTTCAAGATTACGTTTATATGTGTGCGCGCTAATATGTAAATATTTATTAGCATAAACAAGAAATGATTATTGTTAGTATAATCTAGTGAGATTTTTCTGCTGCAAACATGAATCACATCTAGGTTTGAAGAAAAGAAGCAAGTTTTAGATACTAATGTCTAAGAAATGATTTATATTTCCTTTACGGTGAAAGTCAAACCATAAAAACTAATGTATATTCACATACATGTGTGCACACATAACCAAGCACCCCCACCCCATAAGGCTTCTCTCTTTCACTATTTTCTCTCTTATCTAACATTCAGCCATACACACAATAGACATCATATAAGTTTCTTTTTTTATGGTTGGGAAGAAGTCAAAGCAAGAAATGGGGTTTCCTTGGAGCTTCAAACTAATTCACCAAGACTTTTCCATTTCTCGTCAAATTTTCTCAAAAGTAAGTGTTAATGTGTGTGTTCTATGTGAATTGTACTTCGTACTTCTAAATTTTGGATTCATTTATATGGGTTAGGATCAAAGTGTAGTAGCGTTATGTACAAGATTAATGCTACTTAAGTTTGGTATAATTCTCGTGCCTTCTTTAAGTACGTTACGAGTTTCCTTTTCTAAATCTAAGTGCGAATTCTATTCACCTCATACACTTATTGGGGTTTTCTAATATCACCCTTTATGTTTTTCCTACAGGAATTCAATAGTGCACGGTATCGAAGACTTGCAGTGGTGAAACTCAATAAAAGATTTTACGAATTTCGAATTTTTTTATATATTATGAATTTTATTGTGTGTCGTTAAAGTCTTGTTTCTTTCAAGTCAAAATTGTTTGACATGCAATTTAATATCCATTTTTTTTTTTTAAGCTTATTGATATGAATGTATTTATCGATTGTTCTTTTTTCATTTGTATTAATAATATTATTCGGTTTTCTTTTTTCTTTACACTTTTGATATAGGTCTAAGAAGGTTTTAGCGAAACTCGGGAAATTGAGACTCGAGGCATCACTATAATCTACCATAGCAATTCACTCAAAATCTATTCATATGCAATTCCTCTTCCATTTTCCAATGTTTCTTTCAATTTCATAAGTAGATATGTAGCTTCTATGGAGTAGACTGCCAGTATCAAACCAAATTGATTCCACAAGAACTTAAAAACTGGAGAAAAAAAAAAAAAAAAAAAAAAAAAAAGAGAGAGAGAGAGAAAAATCAACTTTCATCTTCCTTATGATTTAATGTAGGTAGGAAGATGACAAAATATTGACCCATTATTTCAAAAAATCCCTTATGGAGCCATTAACTTTTTTATAACTTCTTTAATCCCAATCATATATTTTCACAATTAAATGCCAATTGATCTAACGCAAAGTAGACGACTCACAATTCCCAAAGATAATTGGATGCTTCATGATTTCCACCAATAAATATAGTTGGAATTGGTGCAACTTTCTCTCCTGAGTAATACTTCCAAAAAGAGTTCATGCTTCGGTATTTAGGTGGAACATTTAAACTTTCCAAATCCTTCTCATTCCTAACTGCCTGCATGCACAAAATATAAAAAATGATTAACTAAGCTTGAGGTCATCTCTTCACATGAGTCTTATAGAAACTGGTGTTCGTAAAGCATTGATTCTCTTCTGAAACATTTCTGTTCGAACTCTACTAAAAAAGCCACTACCGAATATGCTTTTGAATGCAAAAATAAAAAAATATAACAAGACCATGCTTCTTTTGAGGCCTGTGCAAAATAGAGCAAATATTAAACCAACAAAACAATAAATCAAAGATTAAAACAGAACAGACATCCGAAACTATTCTTGACCCTCACAACTTGTGATACAAATAATCTACTTGAATTGCAGATTTAAAACCTTGTGATATGGTGCATTTATACCACTATTGTGGAGTGTATATAAACCATTTAGACAAATAGATTCCAACAATCATGACTTTTTCTGCCAAAGAGATGAGAATGGATCTAGGAAAATTATGAACGGTTGTAAAAAGTGTTGGCTTTAGACATCGAATGCAGACTAATTCCTCTTTTGCACCATAATAAAGTGAGCATCTAAGTTCAGGCAAAAGAATACCTAAACGGAGTATAGCAATGTCAATTTGGTTTTCATCCGTCCATGTTCATATGTCAATAACTGGTGGACATAAGAATACAGAGCAAAATTTCTGAAGGCTCACTACCTGATTTCTGTAAGCTCCTAAAATTCATTTTTGTTGTGGAATTTAAATGATCGTTGACTATAATTATAATCGAAAACTGAGGAAATTGGAAAGAGACAAAATTCTCTATACTTTCATAGTTAATAATACAACCAAGGACCTCCTTTAATAGTATATGAGACGGATTAAAAAAGGAAAAATAAAAATCATAAATCAGCCTAATAATCTCCAAGAATCAATCCTAATTACAATAATTACAATTTCCCTAAATACAAGGTTAATTATGGTAGGTAGAATATTGCCACATCTCCAGAATTTCAACAATAATCAAGTGCTTTAAAATTATAAGGGGTCTAATGAACCTCACATTTGAAAACTCCATGCAATAACATGAAATTTGAATCTTTGTACACCTATCTTCCTTTTGACATGCCCAGCCTCTCTACCCAAGCTGGAAGCCATAAGAGAAGGTACAATCACTAAAAGAAGCAAGAGATTTTGAACTACTTGCTCCATCGCAACCCATGAATGTCTGTCGTAAAATCAATCTTCCTAAAGTAGGCAGACAACTAGCAGAATCAAGTTCCGTTCAGTACTTTAGAGATAGAAAGGGAAGGGGCTTCATCATATCCATCAAACAAGTTAGATAAAGACAACAAACTCTCTTTAGCAAAAAATGACACAAAGAATACCAAGATGATAAACTGAAACATATCCTACAACAGAATAAATATCAACTGTCCTATTTTCATGTGAGTCAATTCATTCTAAAGCTGCCTTTCACATTATCAAAACAAAGATTTCTAACTTTCTAAATGAAGCAAAAACTGAACCCTCGAACAGTAACCCAAAAAATTTGAAAAAATTAAAGATAAAACCACCTGCTGCTACATATTCATTAAAACTTCATATGCAAAGAACAAAAAGTTAATGTTAGCAATTGAAGGGGGTACAGAAAGAAATAAGAAATGTACTTGAAAGTCCCCACAACAAATGAGAAGATCAATCTTCATATTCTCGACTTCTTGCAGATGTAAAAGAGTTGCATATACATTGTCCAAATCTCCGTGCATACAACCCTCAACTGCTATTTTCATCTGGAATAATTAATGGTTGAAGTATCTTTAGAGCTAAGAGAGAACAATTCACTGAACCGAGATAGTGATCGTGAATCCCGGATTGGCGACAGTTGGGTCGAGCGATAATGGTGTTTCTGGGAATTTCCTGAGGTCTACGCCAGCAAAGGTGGAGGTTGATGTAGACGAGGATTGTAGGCCCCGGTAGTTGGGATGGCCGTTATACCGACGCTCTAGTGGTGGTGGTTGTCGGCGGTGGCGGGTATTGTGCTAGGGCTTGGGGCGTTTTTTGATTTGGGTGGTAGGAGAATTTTGGGCCGCCTTGTTGTCGTTGGCAGGAGGAAAGGGTTTGCATTTCGGGTTGGTGGGCTCGGGTAACGGGTTTTACATGGGGAAAATTAGACCCAATACCCACTAAAATTAATCAATTAGAATAATACTCTGAAAATAATTAAAACTTTTACTCCCATAATAAATACTCTCAAATTCTCCCACTTCATCACCTGCACGTCCTAAATCATCTTCCCCAAAACTACACCGTCATCTTCTTCAATCATAAAAGCAGCTGGTTTTCTACAGTTACATTATTTACCAAAACCTTTTTCTTCATACAAAAATCTCTAAACTCGTCGCTTCTCCGGTGAGAATCCCTCGCTCCCTGTCTCGATATACATAGATGTATGTATGCACATATTTTTTCAATATTTTTTTGGTATCTTTTGGTGTAGATGTTAGATTATTTATTCCAGTGACGTATGTGTACATTTGATGGTCTTGATTAGTCGTCGTGATGATCAGAGGAACGCTTGACGATAGATAGGCGAATTCATTTTTATAGTATAGATATTGGGCTACGCTTTTGTACCGTTGAAATGGTGTTTTGGTCTTAAAGTTAGGAATATTGAAATGATCCTTCACAATTTTCAATTCAATTACTTTAGTTCTGTACTCCAACTTCCAAGCATTTTATAATTTATTTATTTTTTATTCAAGCGGAAAAATTTGTATTTCTAGTCTTTAAATCCTTACAATGACTGCTTTTTTTCTAAATGAATGTAGGAAACATAGATTATGTGGGAAAACATTTCTTCTTGACCCATTTGGAAAACAAGATTTGTGATATGTATCATTAAATTTTCATGTGTTTTTGCTTGGACAAGCAATTGTATACATGTTTTTATATGCAATTGATTTTCTCAATGGTGGATTTATAGATGGATTGGCAAGGACAAAAGCTAGTAGAGCACATGATGCAGCTGCCATTGGTACTTTTTGGAGTGCTGGAATTCATCATGGGATGTGTTGGTATCATTTCAAGCAGTGCTGCTTATATATGTAGCTGGTGTTATATTAACTTCTTTGATTATGGTTCCCAATTTGCCACTCTTCAATCGTCACCCTCTCAATCGGTTAGATTCAAGTGAAGTTGAAAAATACCCCAAGCCACAACCTGTTGGTTTGGGCATGAAGAGGAAAACGTCTAAGAAGTAGGTCATTTGATTGACTACTCATAACTAGGCTTTCTACATTGATTGATGTTAAATACTATCTCTCTTTTCAGGATATTTGTTATTTTTTGGAGTGATCTTCATTTTTTTTATGTTCTGTCACTTTATTCAACTGATTCCAAGGTTTTGATTGGTTTTATGTCACTTTTTTGAGTATTTGTGTTTTTTTAAGTGTTCCTCACTTTTTTGGGTTTTCGACACTTTTTAAAATTTTTTTCTTCCAAATCCAAGTTAACATGTTAGTTAATAGAAGTAGAATATAATTACAGAAAGACAACATATAAAAGAAAATCACTTTTTTAAATTCATCACTTTTTTTTGTCTTTTTTTCTGTTTGTCACTTTTTTTGGTTGTCTTTTTCAAATTTTTATAACTTTTTTTAGTGACAAACGTAACTTTTTAATAAAAGTGACATTGTATGTAATATTTTAATGAAAAAGTGATACTAAACTTTTAAAAGTGACACAATTTTTATAAAAAAAGTGACATTGTGTTACTTTTTAATTTTACACAGTATCTTTTACTTCCAAAAACTTTTCATATGATTTTTCAAAAGTCCCATGATTTTAAGGGTATTTTTGTAAGTTGCCCTTTTACATGTGGATTGATAATTAGTGATCAATTTGTAAGGGAAATTTGTCATATCTAAAAAAATAGATATAATCAATTTCAAAATTAAGAAATAAGGTTTAAAACTTCAAAAATCAGATATTAATTACATTTTATTTATAAAATAATTAATTAAATATATTAAGGTCACAATTTGATGACAAATTGTTAATTTAATTAGTCATTAAATTATATCACAGTAAAAAAAAATTATATGTCACAATTTATTCATCGATCACAAATTTAAAAATTTATAATTTATTGGTTATAAATTACAAATTTTATGTGTCATAAAATTTTACGCACATATTATTTATATTTCACAAGTGATGATTACAAGTTATTTATTTATCACAATCTTAAATAATTGATTGCAGACACTCTTATTTTAAGTCACACACTATTTATTGGTCACAAGTTATCTATCATAAGTTATTTATTTGTCACGATCTCAAATAATTGGCTACAAACACTCTTATTTTAAGTCATGAGTTATCAGTCACAAATTATTTATTTGTCACACAAACACTCTTATTTTAAGTCACAAATTATCAGTTACAAATTATTTGTCCCACAAAGACTCTTAATCCCACCAACACTGCCTAACTCCATTCCACCATGACATCAATCCAAAGCAATGCTACCTCACAACCACAACTAACGTCGCTCCCATTGCCAAACAAACTTCCATTTTCCAATTTCAAAACCACCAACAAACCACCATTTTCAACTACAAAACCACCACTGCCATTGATAGATCCACCGTCACCTCCACCAATAAAAACCACTACTACTAACAGATCCAACAAGCACTATATTTATCGGGAAGCACTTTGGATCCGGGGCTACCAAAATGCTAAAACATTGTCAGACCACTACCATCAAATCCACCATCAATCTGACAAAACCCACCATCATCACCACCAACAAAAATCGTCTCCAAATCATGACTCAGCACATAAACCTACCATCACCACACCTTCCACCGTTGCTAAGTATGTGTGGCGATCCGTGACCAATTTAGTTGGAAAGTACAAATCCTGATACAAATCATCATAGAGGAGTTGTGTAGCTCTATTCCTCTGTACGCAAAAGCTCCGATTCCGTGCCTCAACCTCATGAGCAAAGGTACAGCCTTGAGAAGCTGGAACGTACAATATCTTTGTACAGATTGCTACAATGAGCAACTGATGTGCCTCAGTGTAGAGGCTTCGATGTTATTGGCGCTATGAGACTCAGCATCATTGTGTACCGTGTTACTTCGTACGGTGTCGATTGTTATGTTACTAGAGGTGCCATGTTGCCGGGGTAGTGTGTTACAGGAGAATAAATATGATATTGAAGCGAGAAGGAAAATGATAGAGCAAAGAAAGTGAAAAATGATTTAGGGTTTGGGGTAGATGGGTATGGGATAAGGTGGAGTGGGTTAGATTAACTTAATTTATAATATTATTAATAACATCAATTGTTGAGTTATCACCTGATTTATGTATAAGCAAACTTGAAATCTTATTTTTTAAATACAAATTTTCAAAATCTGTCCTAGCATAGTTACCACTTTGGAAAGATGGAACAAAATGTTAGAAAAGAATAGACAAATACCTTTTCTGTTATGATCATTTTGAAAAATCATGACGAACTTTAGTTAAAGGCAAATAGTTAATATTTAGCATAATTTTTTACCTCTAACCCACACACACAATAGCAAAAAAATTTTGATGCTTCCAACTCGAGAAATCAAGAAAAATCAAAGGGAAAAATAAGATATCTTACACAAATCAAACAAAAACAAGATCTAGAACATTTTCACCTATATTTTCTTTGAAGTTTTCTTCCCTAAATCTATAAATAAAAAACCAAAATTTACAGGTTTTTATGTCTTGGATTTTTTGTTCAATTGGATCTCTAAATCTGTAATTTTAAAATTGTTTAATGATCTGTTTACATAGATTATGAAAGCTACATTTGTAATTAACAAATTCAAGTTGAATAAACTTCCACTTGAAAATTCTAATCGTATTAGTGCATCAATGATTGATTGGAAAAATAGTTGAAATTAATATTGTTGATCTTGAGAGGATTTAAAGAATTGATGAATAAAGGAAGAAGTAGTATCATTTCAATTATCACTGTGGATGGAATTGTAAAAGATAAAGTATTTAGGAACAAGATATGGGTTACGAAAAGTATTTCGGTATATACAATTACACAATAACTTTCAGTTCAAGGTAAGTAAGTTAGACAAGAAAGAATATGTGTTGAAGTCTATAGATGATAAGTGCAAATAGACTTTTAAGACTTCAAGGCTTGGGAAAACATATATGTTCAAGGAAAAGGATATAAAAAATGATCATACGTACTCAAATAACATCATCTTGGAAGATCATTGTCAAACAACAAGCTCAACAGTAAGAAAATTCATCAAATACATATATATCTCGACAAAAACAACATACACTCCCATAAACATTATAAGTGACATGATGAGTACATATGGTTTGTAGATGAATTACAAGCTATGTTCTAAAATGCACTCATATACTCGATACATTTTTAAAATGTCCCGCATATGGGATATACGTGTGATAATACGTCAACCTATTTTGTTGACCATATATGCACGCTTAAACATCAAAATGTGCACATATTTGTATTAAAAATTGTGCCAAAATTAGCCTAACAAATCCCAACTCATTTTTATGGCTTAAAAAAGCAAATTTATCCCAAGAAAAAAAAATCAAATTATCCCAAATCAACCTAGCCATGAATTATATATATAGCAATCTGTGCGGTTTTGACATTTGGAAAAATCAAGAATCAGAACAAACTCTTGTTAGAGTTGTAAACCATCTTCGTCGAGCTTAAGCCTCATTCTTCTTTGGTTTTCTTCTAGTTTTACTACCAAGTGATGTACAATCTTGGATGGTTGATGGTTCACTACTAAAAAACAGCTTTTTACCTATGGAAAATTATCAACGGATTGCATTCGTTGGTGATTAGAAACAGATTATCCATTGGTAAAAGTAATTCACTTTTAGCTGCGATAATTAGCAACGAATTTTCCGTTAGTAAAGATGATATCTCTTTACCAACCGATATTTCGTGCCTAATGTAATCGTTTAACATTTGGATCTTCCTCCAATGGATATTCCGTAGGTGATATACCGAATATTACCAACGGATTGCATCCGTTGGTAATTAAAAATGGATTATTCGTTGATAAAAGTAAT